AGTCCTAGCTCTCCACGTCCCCTCTGTATCCCCCCATCAGTGGGAACGGGGGATTGCAGAGAAGATGGCCACAGTGGTGCCTGCAGAGCCCCTATGCAGCAGCATTTGAATTCGACTTTCAGTACTACACTTGGATTGGAAACTAAACCCAAATAAAGTGCAGTTTGCAGATTTTTACCAGGATAGTGGGCAAGTGAGAAAAGAATCTATAGAGATAACTCTATAGAAACAATAGAACTCTCCTTATTTCCCTCTCCAGGCACCCAATTTATGCCAATCCGGACTTTTTATTGTTGTTCTCATGGACATTCAGTATTTTAGCTCCTTAGCACTGTCCTTGCTTTAAATAGATTATGAAAAACTGTATAGTTTTTGAGTGACTAATAAATCCCAATGCATGCCCCTTGATACTTTCACTGTTCTTTTCCTTTCCAACTTCTTAAAGATATTTACTGTGTACCTCATATGTAATGGAATTTTTTTAAATAATTGAAATAATTCAGTAAAACTAAGAATTCACACTGATTTGTAATTATTGCTAAAACCATAGTAGTTAGTATTTTTGATATTCAGAAAAATACTGCCATACATTATTCATAAAAATCTGTATTAAAATGTGTGTGTTATATTTCACAATTGCCGTGAGTTGTATGTCTGTATGCTAAGATGTGCTTAACTGCTCCCATCTGGTTTATCCTCTTGATCATAGAAAAACTGCTCCAATTGAAATCATTGTTAATGCTCTTACAATTTTAAATAGCAGACTTCCAATGTTAATATAGCAAATGATTGGCTATATTAAAAAACAATTTAAAACTCCATCTGGAGTCCAAGCTCAGAATTATGATTCTTGTCCTCCCTCCAGCACAGCATGCACTCTGGATCCAACTTATCTGCCTTTGGCACAAATTTAGACACTTAGTGGGAAATAAAAACATACTTCAGTTCCTAGGAAAATAAGAGGACACGAAGGTGGCTAAATTGAGGCAGTGTAACCAGTCAATCTGGGGAAACACAGTGCTTGTTAAGATGTTAATACTGGTTTAAAAAAAAAAAAAAGTCGGGAGGAGAGAGATAAAAAAAAATAAAAGGAAAAGAAAGAAGCAAAATAAACTCTCTGAAGAGTGAAAAAAAAATTGCTACTGATTTATTCCCTTATTTCTCTCAATATTACTTGTGCTTTCTGAATGTTTTCAACATCAACCTTCTGTTTATTTACCTCAGAAGTTTTCACAAGCTCTCACTGTGTTCCACACGACTTTTTGCAGCCATTTTCAAGACGGCTTGAGTACAGCTTATATTAAAAGAATTTTAGTATTTCCAGAAAGTTCCAGCAAAAAGGAATAATGAAGTCATTATTATCTGTCATCCAAAACTATATCTGTTCCCTTGGCTCTCATGAAAAACAAGACTTTACTTCCTCTTGCATACATGTCTGGGACAGTGAGAAGTACTGAAATACACATCTAAGAAATATTAACTTAACAAACTAATTAGTGGGGTAGCAGTATTTGAAGTTAGCAAGAGAAGTCATATGCTAAACAGGCCTGGATTTGAGTCCTAACTCAGTCAATTAATAATTCTGTGGCCTTGGGTAAGTGATTTATACTAAACATTCTGTTTATCTCGATAAGGTTGGTTTTTTTTGTTTTTTTTTTTTAAGATTTTATGTCTTTAGTTATTTGAGAGAGAGAGAGAACGTGGATGTGTGTGCACAAATGAGTCAGGGAAAGGGCAGAGGGAAAGAGAAAGAGAGATACTCAAGTAGACTTCATGCTGAGCACAGAGCCTGAACTGGGGCTTCATCTCATAACCCTGAGATCATGACCTGAGTCAAAACCAAGAGTCGGACCCTCAACTGACTGAGCCACCCAGGTGGCCCATAATGAGTTGTTTTTAAGATGCAAGGAAACAAGGCTCAGGAGAGCAACTGGAATATTGTACATAATAAAACAGCTACTATTGATATTAGCATAATAAATGTAATAATACTTCAGAAAATAGTTTAATAGATAAAAAGATGGAATAGACTCCATATCAATCAAAACCCAAGTACCTTATTTATCTCTCATAATATGTAAAGAATAGTTAAAAGTGCAGAGGATTCAGTAGCAGTAAGTTTCTTCTCTAAATCCTGCCATAATTTTGAGTGACCATGAGCAATTCTCTTAACCTCTCTGGGCTTATCTTAGATTTCTCACTTACAAAGTGAATAACTTGAGTTCTCGTCCTGATGTTCAGAATTCACCTATCACTAACACTATGGATAGAAATGCAAGGACAAAAGAAACAGGAGCCCCAGGTTACAGCTAACTTGAGCCATTATTCTAGGTTCTCCTAGCATGGATCCTGTTTGCAGAGAAGTAAACTAGAATGAATTAGGTAGTTCAGAACATGAGCCAAAATCAGTGAATTCCTTAAAACAGCTCATGATTTACCTGAACATTTTACCTAATAATTGGTCTTGCCCTTTCCCCTTCTATAAAAACCACAGTAACAGCCTATCAAGCTCATTTTGAATGTACTTCTTCTGTGTATTCATTTTAAAACAAGACATACACACAGTGTGATAGAAATTCGTCCCAAGACTGCTATGTGGAGAAATAATTTGGTTTAGATTGACTCCTTATGTCCTTTCCCCAAGAATATTTATTTTTTTTAATCTTTATATGATTTCTATTAATAGCCACACTCTATTTAGAAAGAGGAAAAATCCTCAGAAAAACTACAAAATCATTTCAAATGTTTCAGCATTGTTCCAAACTACTATCAAATCGTAGTAAACCATGAACACTTCATTTAACAGAAAGTAATTTTGTTTCTAAATATTCTCAATTTAGGGCACCTGGGTGGCTCAGTCAGTTAAGCAGCTGCCTTCTGCTCAGGTCATGATCTTGGGGTCCTGGCATGGAGCACCCACACTGGGCTCTCTGCTCAGTGAGGAGTCTGCTTCTCCCTCTCCTTCTCTGCTCTCTCTTTCACTCTCATTCTCACTCTCTTACTCTTGCTCTATCTCAAGTAAATAAATAAAATCTTCAAATAAATATTTTCAATTTTATCTCTAGAGAAAACTAAGCTACAGCTGCTATTTGATCACTGGTTCCTATACAATCAATTTTAACAACAACAACAAAAAGGCAGATTTTAAGTTTAAGAAATCATTAAGAGGAAAAGAAGTCTGTGAAAGATAATTTATAACCCGGTTTGTTTAAAATAATGCTGTATTTCACTTTACTAAACTTACACAGACCAAAAAGCATATATTAGTCTTAAGATAATCTGCTTTAATGGCTAAAATTAGACTTTTCCAGTTTTTCTCTATAGACACTTCTTTATATATTTTTCTACACAATAACCATTCAACCTTTACTTAGAGTTCCTTTTTCTGAATTACTAATTTCATGAACCACTGGCATCATTTAGCTTTGGAAAGTAATGATTAGTTTTTCTGTCATCTGCAGTATCATTCTTCAGGATGAAATAACTGTATATTTAAAAGCAAATAAAATAGTTAAGATAATTTCCATGAGATTGTCTCTATTTGATGCTATTCATCCAAACAGTTTCTTTAGAGGTATACTTAGTGGTAAGTATACTTAGTATATATACTAAGTAGCATTAATCAAACAGATTCATGACTATCTATATCAAGACCACTTTTGTTAGAAATGATCACTCTCCAGTTTTCTGACTCCACAGGAGCAACCAACAACCTCAAAGAAGTTATCAGGTTCTAAGCACTGTCTATGATGAAGATTAATCTGAAGGCCATAAAAATAATGATAGTGGAAGAAAAAATACAACATGAGATCAAAATCTTTCTCAACATTTTAACATTCAGCGCTTCAGCAGGAGTTATGAAGGAAAACAGATAAGGTCAGATTTCTAAAACCAGATAAAGAGCTGATGGCTAACAGTTATTAGGGCTTTGTTTAACACTTTTTGTCTGACACTCTTTGTCTGACACTGTATTGCATGGATTATCTCATTTCTTGTTCCCAAAACCTCCCTATGAAACGGGTAGTATTATCTCCACATTTTACAAATGAGGCGATTGAAGGGTAGAGAGATTAAGCACCCTACCCAAATCAATGGGACCTAAAAAATGGCAGATGGGATTTGAACCAAGTAACCAGAGCCTAAATAACACTTCCAACCTAAATCTCCCAAGAGGAAAGGAATATGACACACTAAGACATCAACACACCTCATTATTATTTGTTATTTCGATAGCCATACCAAGTCAGATATTGCCCTGCAATATTTTGGGGCCCTTAATACTTTGAAAGATATTTTTGATCTTCCTTTTCCCCTGTAGAAAATGAACAACTCAGTATTTGGGAAAAACAAAACAAGCTGAATATATAGAGGAGAAATAGGAAATTGCACAACATATTTTCTTCGAAATAATTTTAGCAATTGTGTTAATATTTTTTACCTCAGAAAAAGCTTAGTCATATACATACCACTACTGTTTTTTACCAGTCATCCCCAATTCTCACTTCTTTCCTACTCTTCAGGTTGCACATTCTCATGTATATCAAGACAGAGAGGATTATTTCCTAAGAAAATAAACTAAGGGTATATTTTAGGGTAAATTATTTTAGGGTAAATTAAAAAAGGGTATACCTATAACCAGGTATATCTCACTTCACATATAAAAGTTGAAGAGTGACTTCAGAGTTTCAGAAGTGGGTTATGCCCTAATATTAGAAAAGGAAGAAGAAGAGAAAAGCTTCAACATTCTATCAGTGACTTTAACTTCTTTCCCCACATGAATTTTGTCCCCATCATTAACTGAAGGGTTTTGTTTTTCAAGGGTTTTGTGGGCTCCACTTTCATGGATGAGGACAGCATCTTAATTTCTTTCGCTGAAAAAAGTAATTTAAAACAATGACTTTGGGCACAACTTCAAAATGAGATTTTAAACAGTTTAAGAGCTTCTAGACCCAGATGACATCCAATTATGTCAAAGTAAAACTATGTGTTAGGGGTCTTACCTTATCACCTTGCCTTCCAGGGGGCCCCATTAATCCAGAAAGGCCTTGATTCCCCTAAGAACAAAACACAAAAGGAAGTTTAATGTTATGAAAAGGAAGTGAAAATTAGAATTCCCTTGCTACAGGATTTCATCTTGGACATCAAAACTTTACTGCATTCCTTTCTGATCTTCGCAGTCCGCCTCAAGTTCCACCTCTTTTCTGAGTCCTTTTGAGACTTTTTCTGAGGCTCCTGGTATTTCTCTCTTCCCACGCTGAGTGCCACTGTACTTCCCCGCCTCCATACTCCTGCTCCTTTTTCCCTGATGCTCTTTTCTCTAGGAATGAAAAAAACTCCCCAAATTCCTATAGTTCCAAGGTTTACTGTGTTTAAAAAAAAAAAAAGTTTACTAAAAATCCTGCAAGCACTTTGTGTGGCAGCTGCGGAGGGCTGGCTGCCTCGTAGCAGGACTCCCACTAGGAACTGGGTTGCGGGGAGCGAGGGTTCGCCTCACGAGGCACACCAGAGGAAGGGACACTTCCGCTTCCGGCTACACTGGTATTGGCTGCTGCACGTCTGGGAGTAAATGCTGTGAAAATTTTGGGGGAGGACGCATGTTTGGCTCCAGCAGATGGGACTTCACCTATTAGGGCGGTCCATCCTCCTGATCCTGCAGATTTGATGAGGTCCTCTGAGCCCATCTTAGGATAGGAGGGAGAAAGTGTACTCATGTGAGGGGGAAGGAGTGTCTGGCGGGTAGAAGTGACGGTGGGAAATACAGAGGAGGCTGTGTAAACTGACAAAGAGAAAACACCACAAAGGAATGGGAAGATAATCTTGAGGCACTTTGCTGCAAGTGGTTTTTCTTTACTTCCCTTCCCCTCCGTCTTTCTGCTGCAACAAATATATTGTGTATTGAAAAAAAAACAATGTTGTGAAAGAAAAAAAGGGTACTTAGGTAATAATCCTAAATAAACTCCTTAAGTGATTGTATTGTGTTTAACGTTTACTGCACTATGTACTTTAATATGCCATCAAATTAAATAATCAGAACAGAAAAGAATGTTTCTGATGATGAACAATCTAATACCTTTCCATTTGTACTAACTTCATTTTAATACTTCTTGACATTTTACTAAGATGGCTTCCATTTGTGATGGGATGACCATTTTATACAGATTTTTTTTTTTTTTTTTTTTTTTTTTTTTACATTCATTACTCTGATGTGGGGAAAGAAAGCTGCACTAGGAAACAGGTTATTAGAGGCTTATCTCCTTCCACTAGGTCTAATCATGGGTGGATCACTTAGATTTCCTTTTAAAGATCCTCCACCAGGAAAATGAGAATAATATCTCACTTGACTTATAGGAAAGGAAAAAAAGAAAAGCACCATTTAGTGGTTATTTTTGTGTGCCACTGAGATCCCAAAATGGGTTAACACGTAAACATGCTCTATGAGAGACATTCTTTAATACATGTTCAATGCTGAAGGACTAGACCCTGCACTTCTTTTATGTTATCACTGACAGTATATTTATTGTAAAAATGGCTAAGTGATTAAAAATAAAACATAAGTGTTTCCCAAACCCCTCAACTCTCACCAATATGATGTTCATATTTTATTTGTATTCATAATGTATGTGTATAACTGATATCTTGCCTCCTTAGTTTGAACCTAATCTTAAATGTAAATACAATGTCCAAGAAATGTTTTTAAATTTTACTATTCTAAAAATACATCTCTCAATTTTAAGAGTTGGATTTCACTTAAAGCTCAATGGCAATATATTATTAAATCCTGTATCTTACTACCTTACTCCTATATAGTATGAACCATAATTAGTATATGACTAACAAAAAGGGAAAAAAGACTGACATACTTCCAAGCCTCAATTCCAATGCTGAACCATCCTATATTTTATACAGATACTGTACACATACCAAACCACCCTGTATCTTGTACAGGAAAGTCACAAGTGAAGATAAAACCAAGCATTTGATATAAATGTGAAGGCTTAATTTGGGGGTTTAAAGAAGTCACCAAAACAGAATGGGCTTTAATTTTTAAATTTTAAGTAAGAAATCAAATGTTCTATATTTAGATTTTTAAAAGATGGCATTTTGTTTCTCAGATTGCAGGATATTTTTCCCCACAATAACTAAGGGACCAATGAAAATAAATTTCTAATAAATTTCCATTCTCTTTCTAAATTATTTATATTCAGTGAACTCAGTTCCATCACAGGAATAAAATTCTCAAGATTCTAGATTAAAAATTTTTTGAGGACTTACTTTTTGATGTAATACCTGCAAAGTTCATTAAGATTTTTTTTTTTTTTTTAAGTTTACAAGAGTTTCTGTAAGCCAATTAAAAGATCAGATTTCAGGGGCACCTGGGTGGCTCAGTGGGTTAAAGCCTCTGCCTTCAGCTCAGGTCATGATCTCAGGGTTCTGGGATTGAGCCCCACATAGGGCTCTCTGCTCAGCCGGGAGCTTGCTTCCCCCTCTCTCTCTACCTGCTTCTTTGCTCACTTGTGATCTCTCTCTCTGTCAAATAAATAAATAAAAATATTAAAAAAAAAAAAAAGATCAGATTTCAACCCAGGAACCACCAAAATTACTCAGGGATTCCAAAAGTTTGTGAATGTATACCATACAAAGAAAAACATCCTATAATTGTATCACACTTGTCCAAATAGAGATTCCCAGATGTATTCCTAAAGACTCCAATTTTATTCAGACTCACTAGAAAACAGTATCCTCATCTTAACAAAGATTTTGTTGCTAGCTTTATTCAAAATATTAGTTTCTTTTTACCTAAATGTGAATGTGTATGTTTTACAGAATTACAATAAAGTGAAATGCATACTAGACTAAAAGTCAAACAAATATATCATTAACTTAACCACTTACTATCAATGAGTCATTTAAATTCTAAGAATTATGTTTTCCTAACTGGAAAACAAGATAATAATGAGTGCTTCTCTCAATTATTCAGGACTTGAAAAGGATAACGTACATGGAACTAGTCTAAAAAAGGCACAAACGGCATTAAAATTTATGTATTAATGTGTGTATGCCTTTTAACAGCAAATTTTTGAGATTAGGGTCACATACTGCTCTAATGTTTCACCCCACCCATCCCTAAAGGGCAGGTAGCACAATGGTAGGCCACAGTAGACACCCAATAAAATAATGTGAATATTTTAATTAATATATTAAGCTGATGATATAATTTATTTTTCAAATATTTCTTCCTTCATTCAAGTTCTCTACCTTCTCTGTCTGATACCTTCTCTAGTTTTCTATCTCCTCCATCTGATATCAAGCAAAATCTACATTTTAAAAAGGTAAAAATGAATTTTTAGTGCATGAAATATATTACCATGATTTTATTCCTTGGGCAACTAATTACCTTTTCTCCGGGTACAGCTTGACCAGGGGAAAATCCTGGATCTCCTTTGGGGCCCTAGGTAAAATAATTATAAAACACTTTGTAAAGCATAAATTATACACAGTATAACACACTTCTTCAATTGAATGAATTATAAAATGATATATATATATTATATGGTATTAAAATTATTTTAAATTGAGATGGGCATGCATTATTTGCTTTTTTATTGTACATTTTTATTAGCCTCATTTTTAAATCCTGAGAAGACTGTCAGACATGGATGATTTTAAAAATCTAATAGTTATGCTACCATTGAAACATCTTTCCTTAAGGGACCTATATAAAGGCTCCATTAACATCCACTTTTGTGACATATTCAGTTATAACTCCTACTTTAGCATTGGAAAACTAGTCACTTTTAGTAAAAAAATCTGCTTATAATTCTTAAAATTTTATGATACCATTCCAAGTTTAAATATTTTCCAAAATCTTACAATGTATATACATTACTTTTGTAATAAAAAATAAATCAGAAATACCTCTAATTGCCAAAATATATATAAAAATAGATACTTTTCCTACTTTGGGAATCTTATATTTTACATTTCAAGAGAAATATGACATTAGGTTTCAACGAAATTTTTTTGCACAATATTAATCTTTCTTACTATGCTTACTGGCAAAGGATCTCTTTTTCTATTCCCATCTCATAAAATCAAGAGGCCACAATTCAGATTCTCTATAATTCTAATTATGATTTCATTACCATTCTCAACTAGTAATAATTTCCATTCCTAGAGAGTTCTAAATGCTATTTTCATTCTATGAGAAATAGTCATGAGTTCTTCCACAAATTCAGGGATGCTTTCAAATACCACTCAAACTGAAGAGAAGAAGGAAGACAGAAAGGAAAGTCTTTCCTGTTCTCCATTTTATGAGTCTTCCCATTTCACAAATTAGAAATAAATCCTCACTGGCTAAATGGCCTATATTCTTGAATCAAAGAAAATTTTTAAGGAAAGGTTGTTTTCCAGGTTGACCTCTCCCTTTCCATAGCTATCTCAACTTCTATTATTAAGCCTACAATTTTAGGCCATTGATTACAAAATTATGGAACCTGAGAAAGAGCTTTAATGATATCTCAATATTTAAGAACTCAATCCATTCTCCAGAAAAAAAGTTAATATAGTTAGAATTTATAAGAGATATTATAGCTTATCTAGTAAAACACATTTTATAGACAGAGGAGCAATGAAGTTCAGAAATGTTAAATGACTTGATTAAAGTTGCTTAGAAAAGTACTGGCAAACTGGGTTAATTTTTTTTTCTCATATCACAATGTCTATTAAATAAAAATCATACTTATTGGTTTTAATGTATTACAGTCTTTTATTATAAAACCTGGCCAACTGATTTGAGGCAATATGTACAAAGAATTTTTGAAGAACTTAAGAAATGATAGCCCTTGAGAATTTTAAATATAATAAAATTCTTACATTTAAACTTTAAATATAATAAAATTTTTACTTATAAATCACATTAAAAATTCTTATTTTTAGGTTCTTTCCAAATTTCCTATTATCTGTCTACTTTCTTTTATCAACTAATTTAACATTTCATCCTCATTAGAAAAAAACTCTGAGAACATGGATAAAAGTAATCAACTGATCAATAAAAATCATATTTAAAGAAAGTGTTTTCTTATTCATAAGGCTTACGTATCTAGGCAACATATTTAAAGAAATACATGCTAAATCTCTTTTATTCCCACACAAATGTGCTTGAGTTTATTGATCAACTTGTTCTACAACCAATTCTAGTCTTCATGAAGGGAATGCTCTTAACTTGGCCAGTAGTGGGTTGGGATCCTCCTTAGTATAAAATGCATGAGCAGAGATTATTGAACATACCAATTTTACCTAATGTCAAAGAAGTAGGGTATATTTCTCTGCATTAAAAAAGACTCCAAAATTTCTTGCTTTCTTCCTCATTTTGTTTTAATTCTATGACTCCCAACACACTTTTAGTCATACTTGATTGGCTTTTCAAATCCCCTTTCAAATCAAAAAATAAATATAATTACTTTGACTTTCAATACAGACTTCTACATGACTTTTGTTAAAGGAGCTATATATCCTTTTGAGTGTAAGAGGAAAAGGAAATTGCCTATTCTTTATTACTCAAAGAATTCTCAAAGTCCCACCTATTCTACTATCCTGCTATATAGTCTATATAGCAGACATGGATGATTTTATAAATAATTTTTCGGCACAGCTCTTTCAGACTATTTATTGGGTCTCTGAGGGCCCTCTGTCTAGTGAGGAAAACTTCTTAAGTACTAGACCCATTAACATGTTAGAACAGATTTATCAGATTAGAGACCATTCAATATAATGGAAAGAACACTGGGACTTAGAGTGAAAACACTGAACCATTTAAGTTCAATGGTTTAATGGTTAAATGGTTCAATGGTTAAAAGTTTAACCATTTAACACTGAATCATTTAAGCTCTCTGAATTCGAGATTCCTCCTCTATAAAATGGAAATAAGAATAATATCTGCCTAGTTTAGCTTGTAAGATATAGGTAAAATTCTCTATAGAGTATATATATGTAAGTATTAAAAATATCAAGACCAGAGACAATCATTAAAATCTATTTTACAATTATTTCCATCTTAAAAAGCAGAGAATACAATTTGTGAATGAATCGTTGATGAAACAGCAAAATTTAAATAAAAAGAATTTGGAATTAAGAATTCAAATATGGATGAGCTAAATTAGGAGAGTCCCATAAAAGAAACACTAAGTGACATGATCTTGAGGTAACATCACTTGAATATTCCTCACTTTAACATTACAAATAACTATATGACCTCCATAATACTTGAAGCATAAAATTTGAAGCATTACATTCTCTAAGCAATACTTCCTATCTTTTTAGCTCACTCTCTAAGCAGCCACAACAATTATTTGACCTACTGCAACTGCTAATATGTGATCCCACCATATTTTCAGTGTCTCATCCCCATGTGGCCTAACTTCCAATCCTTAAGCAGTCTAAATACCAAGGTCTGACATTATAATCACTTCCTTGCATACATAAGTGGCACCACTTTTTCTTTCTCCCTCTGTCTTACAAGCTTATCTAGAAATTCTTAAATCTAAACTCACCACCTCTTCTGTCCCATCCCCTAGTAGCTAAATGTGACTAAGAGAAAATAATCATGCTGACAAACCTCACTTTAAATTCATGACTTTTTACATTAATTGGTTTTGTTTTCTTTTGTTTTTGATATGTCTAATAATTATCTTAGTCAATTCACTTTTCCATTTTCATAGATAATTATTTCATAACTCTTGCTCTCCACTCTAAGTGGGTGATCTTGTTTTTAACATTTACAAATTGTCTCAACCAAATCCACTACCCACATAAATCTGTTCCAAAATACTCTGCCTTCATTACCAAACCCACTATTCTCTCTCAATTATTTTCTCTCATAATTGGTCCATTGTCTTCCCTACATTATTTTAATTTTTATTTCTTCCCAGGATAATTGATATCACCAAGTAAACACACTGTAATTCCTCCAATCTTAAAAAACAACTTTCTTTGAGCTACATCTCCCTTCTCTGCTCCATTACACTATTTTGAGAGCAAAACTCCTGTACTAATGAGGAGACTTCTTCCATTCTCTCTTGGACTTGACCCACTCAGGTTATTGTCCTTACCCTACCTCATTGTCATTCTTTCTCAGTCTCCTTTGCTAGTTCCTCTTCTTCGTCCTAATATACTAAACTCTGGGATACTCAAAGATTGGGTCCTTGGAAAATTCTCTGTCTATATACATCCATAGGTCAAAATACATAAAACAATTATTTGAATGCATAGGAGAACAATCAAAAAGCAGGACACACTGGAGGGGATTCAAGAAAAGAACCGCACTTGGTACAGTACCCATTTAAACAACTTTTCTTCCTCTTCTTCTTCTTCTTCTGGAGATTTTATTTATTTACTTATTTGAGAGAGAGAGAATGAGAACAAGTGAGCATGAGAAGGGGAAGATCAGATGGAGAAGGAGACCCCTTGCTAAGGAGGGAGTCTGATGTGGGACTTGATCCTGGGACTCCAGGATCCCAGGACTCCAGGATCATGACCTGAGCTGAAGGCAGTCACTCAACCAACTGAGCTACCTTACAACTTTTCTTCTAAGGACCCTCCACAGTCTGCATGGAATGACTAGAATTCAAGCAGAAAACCATAGATGTTTTGGCTAGTAGTGTCAGAGGAGAGAGTGTGAGACTACCTGAATAACTGTAAGTTGAGATGGGAAATCCTAGAGAAAAAAGAAAAGAACAGATGAAAAGAAATGAAAAAAGAAAGAGGACAGCTTCCCCCCAAAATCTAGATAAAGACTCTCTTCAATTCTTGGCTGATCCTAAATGTGGTTGCATGAGATGGATTCTGGAGTTCACCAAAAAGCAACAACCAGAAGGCTAAAATAATTGAATATAAATTTTAGCTGCAGGCCACAGGGGAAATAATTTGGGATTTGAGTCACATCACTTTAAGGGACATGGTAAATGCCTTGGTAATCACCTTTCCATCGAAATTCAGGAAGGGCTATACTTTAGAAGCAAGCATTATATGCTTGGACTAACACTAACACTATAAGCAAAACTAAAACAAATCTGTCCCTTAAAAAAGTTGCCAAAACCTATACAAGTTTAAGATGGTGAACCAGTTATTTGTTATTTAATTAATAATTTAAATAATTGTTATAAATTATTATTTATAAATTATTACAAACAATTATTTATAATAATTTAAGCAATTATTATAAACAATTATTTATAATAATTGTTTAAATTATTAACTAAAATAAATAATTTAAGTTATTTAATTGTAGAACAAAAAAAATCAGCCATTATCAAAGGATTTCAGAGAAAGTTAACAGAATCTAAAGTTCTTCCACATATTAAACATAATACGCAGTACATAATCAAATGTTTCTAGGCATACAAAGAAAAGCAAGATCTGACCTGCATTAAAGAGAAAAGTGGTCAATACAAA